ACAGTTCATGCTCCAGAACTTTGTGGAGCATGAACTGTGGGTGAAATACCACGGTTCTGTAAATAACTCTTTAAGATCTTTCTATAAAATGTTTTTTCTGTTTGTTTCTGGTTAATAGGTGTGTTTGGCCAAGGCAAATTGTTCCTCCTCTTTAGAAACTGTGGTGACTCAGGATCTGAGTCTTGGTGAGGGCCAAGCTGTGGAGAACGGAGACTCTGTAGAGGTGGAATACACTGGCTGGCTCTTCCAGAACCACTCCATCGGACAGGTCACACCTTCGTTTAAACCTCCTCAGTTGGCCTGATTGTTTTGACTTTAAAGCACAGCTAAATACCATTTATTTTTATTTTTTTCAGATGTTTGATTCGAACATCAACAAAGATAAGCTTCTACGACTTAAAATCGGAGCAGGGAAAGTAATCAAGGTGAGTCAAATGAAACTGAAGTAGAATAAAAGTAGTTAATAGTTATAAACATGTAATACAAAATCTTTTTACAGGGTTTCAGCGGGTCATTAAAAATCATTAAAAGCCATTAAATTATTGTTTAAATTAAGGCCTTAATTGGCATTAAAATTCATTAAATGTATTTATTGTGGCATTTAAAATGCTTTAATAAAAAATTATTTATAAAAACTATTTCGTCAGACATATTATATCACGATATATTTGCGTGGAACTTCTTCCGGTTGATTGCAAAGCTGTATGTTCAGAAAAGAAGCTTGAGTCGGAGAAAAAGCTAGAGAATGGGGGGAAAAAAGCAAATTTCAACAAAAGTGTTTGGAAAACGAGGAATTTTGGATGTTGGTGGCATTAAAATTATTTCTAAGAGCATTAAAAGCATTAAATTTGAGTCATTCATACCTGTATAAACCCTGTTTTACTGTAATGTAATATAATACAGAAGCAAACATCTTTCAACAGTATAATGGCGGTGCTATTGTTTTTTTTCTTTCCCCTTTTTTTCTTTGTCTTTTCTTTCTGTTTTTCTTAAAGTTTAATGAACACAGTAATTGTTTAAATAAAGTAAAACATAATGATGCCTTGAGCAAATTTAAAAGTTAAATATTAATTAATAAATGTAACTTTATTGATCTCACATTGGAGAAATTTACCTCTGTATTTATCCCATCCCCTTGGGGAGCAGTGGGCTGCCACTGTTGGAGCAGTGTGAGGTTAATGGTCTTTCTCATAGAAGCTGAGTGGCAGTCTGTGGAGTGGGGCATGAACTCAGAACCTCAGGATCCCAGTTATTTGTTTTCTTTGCCATATATGTCTTGATTGAATAGAATTACTTTATTGTCATTTCATTGTCATTGCCAGTACAGAGCAACTAAATTCACTCTCTGCATTCAACCCATCCCCTTGGGGAGCAGTGGGCTGCTATTGTGTGGCGCCCGGGGAGCAGTGTGGAGGTTAAGGGTCTTTCTCAGAGAACCAGAGTGGTAGTGTGTGGGAAAGGGGCTTGAACTCAGAACCACTGGGATCCAAGTGCAATGCCACTAGGCCGCTAATCCAATAGTAGAGGAGCTGAGCAGCTCTTTAAGTTAAAGAATTCTACACCCTGTTTGTAAAAAGGAGAGCTACCATAGATGAGATGCTGCAACCAGGCTCTATAATGCGACACTACAATGGCAATAACTTGTGCAATGTATAATGTGCAATTTACCGTTTGATACCCAAGTGCAATAACTATATAAATAAATGCAAATATTCATCCATATAAATACCAGCATAAACACCCTTTGCAATAACCCGGTTTAATGATCCTACTATAAAAGAAAAAGCTGTCATAGGTGGACGCACTGTTTATACTGTATATGTCATGCACCTTTTTCTTCCTTTGGTATATTCTTCTTCTTTGACTATTTGAGCTGATGCAAAGAATAAAATTCTCCACTGTGAGATCAGTAAAGTCAATCAATCAATAATTTCCTAAGATGTAAATTTCCTCTATTTCCCACAGTTTCCTATATAGGAGCAATCGGCCAGTTAATGAGAAAGCTGTTCGGGTCCAATTCTCTGGTTGTGCTCATGGGTCTGAGGCACTGTTCACTCCCATTCATCCCATTACTTTGAGTCTCCACTGCCATTGACGCGTTAGGAGGAGAACATGGCTGACTGTTTATTATGATAGATTACAAAAGATCACCAGCTGGTGAACCTCAAGCTCAATCACAGGAATGCACTCAAGAGTAAGAGAATAAATCTAGTGTAGTATGATGAAAAAAGTCAAATAAGAGCCTGATCAGTTATGGAATTGAATAAAATTAAACACTGGGGGGCGCCCAAATAAAAAAAGCAGATCAGATCTGCTCTAAGAATAAAAATGGAACCTCAGTTGACCCTCTTTTGCAAAAAAAAGTTGATGCTTGTTTATACCTTGAAACAAATGACCCATGCAGTCGCAGAGACAGCTTTCCAATGGTGTCATTACAACTTATCACCACAGGGGGGCAAAGTCTGTTAAAGCTCTGAAATTCCACAATGCTCCTTTAACAGAAATTAATTTAGCAGGTTTGGAAGTTTCTTTCGGAAAGCGTTTTATTTTCCCCAGTACTTTTCCATGTTCTTTTCCAGCCGAAAGAATCTGGAAGGTCGAATTTACTGGAAAGTTTTGTTTCCTCTGTTAAATATTTTGCTTTAAGCAGGCCCAAATCCAGTAATAACCATAAGGTGGGGTTCAGTATCTATAAACCAGGGTGGTGTGGGGGCATGAATAACAGAAGAAATTGAAGAAAAACAAAGCCAGCTGGTGGAATCTGAATATAACAGAAAGTGTTTTTACACTATTTAAACGCCATTAGTATGTTATCACTTCTGTATTAAATCTGAAATTCCCCAATGGGTTTTCCCTGGTGGATAAAGTGAGTTGACTTTTCAATAGAACTATCACAGTTCTCTAAAATATGATCTATTACCAATATTGTTATTTATTTTCTCCGTTATTTAAAATGGAAATGGAAAAAAAAAAAACTTTCTTCCAGTTTCCTGTCCAGTAGAAACAGTTTTGTTCCAGAAGAAACTGAACCCTGGAATTTACCTTGTCAAATGATCTGAAACATTTTAATCCATTTTATTTTGGAGGACCTTAGTTCCTTATTGAGCACCATTGAATGACTTGAATACAAGTCTCATATAGAACCTTTTCTCCATCTGTATCGTTTAAGAAATTGCAAAAAATTCTAACATTAAATCTTCCTCACTCAGGTAAAAAAAAAGTCTGACCTGCCGGTTGCAATGTAGAGAAATGAAGCTAAACTGATGTTGGTCATGTTTTTAAACCTGTGTGTACAGGGATGGGAAGAAGGTATGCTGGGGATGAAGAAAGCTGGCCGCCGTCTCGTTATCATCCCACCCAGTCTAGCTTATGGATCCAAGGGATTTCCGAATCGAGTCCCACCTAACAGCACCCTGATCTTTGAAGTGGAGCTGCGACGGGTATTATTCCCTACATCGCTCTGTACCAGCACTGATTCTATACTGGATTATTTCCTTTTAGTGATTGATTTGGTAGCTCTGCTGCCTATTTTTTCCTGTTGCTTTTAAACTGTCTAATCTTACCCAGCTTGTCCTCTAGGTAAAGTTTTCCAAAGAAAGTGGATCGGATCAAACAAGCGCCAGCTCCAGAGAGTCTGCTGCTCCCTCCCCAGTACCATCTCCAGCCCCCAGTGTAGAAAGTCTGTCCTCAGAGCCTTCGTCAGCATCGGGCAAACCAGGGTGAGGTTTAACCAGAGATATTTAAGATCCATCAAGTTTTACATCAGTTTGGTTGAACCAGTTTTTTATTTGAGTTCTTTCTTCCAAGGGAGCCACCACTCCGAGCCAAATCAAACTCTTTGGGTGAACAGCTGGGGGTAAAAACTCATTCAGATTAGCCACCTTATTTTTCTTTGGAACTATTTTTGATAAAAATGAATCTTTTTTTTAGCAGCAGAATCCAGATGCCACAAAAGCAAAGCTGATTTCTCGCATGGCAAAGATGGGGCAGCCCATGCCCTTTCTGACCGGAGCCGCCAGCCAACCTGAATCTAGCGACTCGGAACTAGAGGTCGGTTACATCAGAAATTGAACTGGTTTACACTCACTGGAAGAAATGATCATTTAGCACCTTGAAAGGTCTATTTGATATGGTCAGATAAAATGGCTAACAAAGCCAGCATGTGTGTCAGAACAGGCAGTAATGTGTGGGTAGGTGCTAGCCTGGGTTCGATCAGGTCTCACTATCTGTATTTTACACAAAAGCCTCTGAATGATGAGATTTAAATGATTTTAGGGTATTTCTCTTTCTTAAATTGCTGAACTGTATCCTAATGGTACATGGGTACCAAATAGGTTTTATGATCATAAAATGTAAAGTTTGGACTATATGTTAATAATTTGGGCAGACATAAATCTGATAAGACACAACTAAAGTGATCCCAACTGCAAGATCAGTCTGCCTACTTGGAAATGCAAGTTGGTGTAAGCAAAGCTTAGTGAAGCCCAGTGTTACCGGAGGCATTAAATGAGGCATTTTCTCATTTAACTTTAAGGCAAAGACAACTTTCAGCATTTAATTTCTACATAAAGGAAAAAAAGGTGGAAGAGAGAATTGGGACATAAATGGGAGGGTAAAAAAACTTGAAGCATTTTTTTATTTGCTGTATGATCAGGCTGGTTATAATTTGTAGCCTATGCCAGTACATTGCCTTCGATGCAGTTTATCTCCAAAAATAATATCAGTAAGTAATGTAATTAATTACGGTAAGTTTTTTCCAAACTAAGCACAAGCAAGCAAAAAGAAAGATTTGTTGCCTTTTATAAAAATGAACCACTGGTTGATCCAGTTTAATCACTGTTGTGTGTAGCCGGCAACAAAATGCCTAAAAAACATTTTTAAGACTCCTTTTTCAATTTTGGGAATTTAATTAACTGATCCAGCCCCTAAATAGTTCAGGTAATCCCTGCCTTCCTAATGCAAAATCCTGGTGAAGTTGAAGGAGAGAGATGGAGCCTTTGGCACAAACCACGATTACCGATTGGTCAGTTGATTGACAAATCAAAACAGGAAGCCAAGTCCCGAACTGATCATACCCCATGGCATATTTAAGCTTAAATAATTTTTTTTTTTTTTTGCTACCGCAATGTCCTTTTTTGATTGGAAGTAGCTGCCCAGCCAGAGTCCTGATTGAAATCTGCTGGAGGAAGCTAAATATTCAAGATACCCAGGTACAAACCCAGCAGAAGCAGGAAAAAGTCAGAAATTATTTCTTTTATGTAATGAAAGTTTATTGCTCTCCTGTGACTACTTATAAACTTCTAGATTCTGATTTGGAAACCGAATTGATTATAAAAACGGTGATCCAGATATCACAGAACACATGGACAACAGTTTTCATTTTATTTTGGCCATATTGCATAATCTCACACACTTCTGTTCCACCACTCGCACTGAAAGCACATAAAGCTATGATCTCCCTGTATCATCCTGTAGGATGAGTATCGTTCATTATTACACTTTGATCTGAAAAAGATTGAGCAAAGAATGTTTGTCAGTAAAAATATTTAACAAGTTAACGGTTTCACCATTATTCTTACGCAGCCACCATTTCATTTGCTATTGGAGCACATGTAGAAAGCTTCTGTATCCAGAAAATTAATTTAGCAAAATCAATTTTTCCAAGTGTATCCGTGAAACCATCATAAGGTAAAATTTCCTTGGGCTGAAATCATTTCACCAAATATATGATAACTGTTTTGAAACATGTGGTGTTTTAGCTTTATCTTCCTTGTCCTCATTTCCAGGACACCAGCATCAACAGAGTGAAGGGTTACACTGCAGCTCCATCTTCACTGCCGATCACAGCTCCAACTCCTGCTTCCACAATGGGTGAGCTGATCCATCCCGATGTCCGAACTCCTCTGCAGAATTTCCAATCAGAATCCTCTGTTTAACATTAATCTTTCCACTGCAGTCTATCCTCATCCTCACACTGCTCCGTCATCTGCCTTACTTCCTGTCATTCCCTCTGTCGGCCCTTATTCTGGTCTTCAAGGAGGCAGCCATGCTTTTCAGGTGATGCTTGTTAACATTTATCAAAAAATATTGGAAGCAGGTCATTTCCCCTAATTGATTTATGTTTTGTTTTTTTTAAACCTCCTACACACAGACCTCTACAGCGCCGTCTCAGATGCAGGCCGTTGGCCAGGTTTACCCTCCTCAGGCCGTCCCATATGTAGGTAAGGAAGTTTGCCTTGTTTAGATGGAGAAATGAATATGCCGTTCATTGTTTTCAGGGTATCCTGTTACAAAGATGAGATCTAGATAGATCTGGATAGTTCTTCTAATAAAAGGGCTTTTCTGCCTGCTAAGGGCTGTAAGCAGAAGATGGTGGAAATTAGGGCAGGACAATGAATCGCATTTGCAATTAAATCTCAATTTTAACTAAATGCAATTTTCAATCATAGAAGTACTCAAAAACATCAACATACTTGTGGTTCATTTAAAAATAAAAGTCAAAGAATAATTTGCGATCAAACTATTGATTTGAAAAGATAAATATCTAATCTAAAGCCCCTGTCACACATGACGATTTAGACCAGCGTATGTCTGACGTACGAATGATCTGGCTACGTTGGGTAAGGTATGGATACGTTTTAAGTTATGAGCACGCTGAAAAACACTAGCACACGTTGAGAAATTTTGAGTTTGCTCAAAATCTCCCAACGTGTGCCAGCATATGCCATACGTCGGGCATAAGTTACAGGTACATTATCTGATCGTTGACATACCTTAAGTTAATCATAAGTCCAAAACCTATGAGTAACTTGTGCATAACTTATGCTCTACTCATCAAGAACCTATCTCCAACGTATATTGACGTATTTGACATGTTCTAGATGACCTCTGAATGTGTTGCTAAGTTATAGCGTTTAATGGGGTATTGACAGGGTTTTGGTTTGCAAGGGGGTTCAGAGGAGGAAACTGTCAGTTCTCCTTCAGACTGCATCCCCATCATAGTGTGAGCAAGAAGATGAGTGTGATGGATCCTCCCTGCGTTCACCCCTACGGCCACGGACAACAAACTTCCTTGCAGACATGACGCTGAATCTGCGGCAACTGCAAACCTCATTTCTTTCTTTTTATTTATTCTTTTTTTGGGCAGGAGTTAAACAGCTTTCAGGTTAAAACAGCAATCAAAGACATGTTTTTATGCAGACCGGGCACCTGAGGGGAGCAGCTTTAACTGATGTAATGCGCTGCATTACACTGCCTTGTGTTTTATGCTTAAGTTGCGCTGTTGGACGCAAGTTCTGGACTCGTTATGGATACGCTATGTTTACGCCCACAATTGAAAAAATGCATAGAAAGTTCAGCGTATGCCAGCATTCGAGGAGATTCTTGAACGTCGGGAATACGCTGTCTAAACTGGCAAGGTGTGACAGGGCCCTTCGATTTTTGCGAAATCGTCTTGCTTTGGTGGAGATGGCCTATGACAGTTAAATGTTAATGATCCTTTCTGTCTGCCAGAATTATAATTGACTCCAGCTCTGTTCAAGCTATTCTTCTCACCAGTCTGCCCAGTGTTAAGTTAGTCAACAGACAGTGTACCTGTATCATTTTTAGCCTGGTCCAACATGTTTATACCTAAAGGTCTGCAGCTGTAGAATAGTTTAACATGAAGGCAAAGGAGATTGCAGTAGTTTAACTGATAAAAATAAACAGTAAACTTTAAATACACGTTGAGATGACTGGTTTGATTTTCAGGTTCTGGGGATTTGACCTCCTTCTTGATGACAGAGGCTCGGCAGCACAACACAGAGATCCGATTAGCCATGGGAAAAGTGGCTGATAAGGTGGATCAACTAGCCACCAAAGTAAATATAACATACCTATTGAAACAAGAATATGCAGTTTGACTATAATGTTTTGAAAATCAAATTTGACTCTTAACTTTTTTTCTCTAACAGATTAGTGATCTTGAAAGACAAGGAACTCATTCTTCTGGTGTTTCTGGAATGACGATGGAAACTTCTATGATTGTGCACAACATTAACCGAATTGTTCAGGTATGCAGGGAGTGGAGGGGTTTGGACCTTTTCTTTTTTAGTACCTTGTCCTGATTGCTGATTTTCTTCTTGTTTTTTTTTTTTGTTTTGTTTTTTTCTTTTTAGGAAAATGAAGCTTTAAAAAAGGAATTGTTTGAAAAGAGCTCTCGTATAGAGGAGCAGAACCGTAAGATTGGGGACCTAATCAACCAAAACCAGAAGTGAGTCACAGAGAGTAAAATGGTCTTGGGGTTCGGTTTCTGCAAAAATGACTATTTACTAGTGATGGGTCCAGCAACACTAATGCGCCGGCTCATGTCGCAAGCTCTAACAGCAAAGCGTCGATGCGTGTTTCAGGAAAGTCACATGACCGACACAGGAGCCGTTTCCAACAGATTGATGCACTAAACTGTGTTTACAAGCGGATATCTCAATGCAACATATCTGTCAAAAAAAATGTCAGATCTTTTGCTATTTATCATGAAATTAATAAAAAAATATGGGACAGCCTCAAGGCAAAAGAGGTTTGGAATGGGTGGGAACATTTTGATATCATATTTGTTTTAATTTTCTTTTTGCGTCATCCTGATCATCTCGGTTATCACTCAACTTATCTGAGTTCAAATAGATTTCAAATTGACTTGATGTTGGTACTGTAGTTATTATTTAAATAAACTAAATCCTAGTCCATATTCTTTATTCAGATGTTTGCTGAAACTTTCCCATTGCATGTTTACATTTGTGGATTGCATCTAAAAATATTAAACATTTCAATATTAATGATGCATATGAAATAATACATTATAGCAAACAATGGCTTAAATCATATGACAGGTCAGCAAATCAGTCAGTTTAGCCGGTCAAAGAGGCTGCCTGTAATGACTCTTAGTGTCCAGTAGATGTCAGTATTCAGCGACACAGTATAACTACAGTTTGCAAATGTCTCCAAACACTTCCTGAAACATCATTAACCCATCACCATTATTTCCTAAAGGCTCTTCACAGATAATCTCACATACAAATTCTCAGAAAACACACTGTTGGTGATTATATTAAAAGCCCAGCCAGAAACCTCTAAAAGAGGAGTAGTAAATAATGAATGAAAAGAAAAGTTTGATGTTCATATCTTCTTTCACACAGTAAGACTTGGATCTGAGCTCAAAAACTGGACTTTGATTACCTTGGTAATGAACCAATAAAGTCTCCTTGTATAAACATGAAGCAGCGAGGGAGATGGTGTCACACCTGTGACTGTTTGATGCACTATGCTGCTGCCTCTAAGTGTTAGGGGATTCAGGAAGTCAAAGCAATAGAAAAATATAAATATTGTTGAGTCGTTGTGATTTAAACTAAAAAACTTAACTATAGAGAGTAATCCTCTTGGTGTGAGAATTTAAAGTGAAGATTTGTCGTTTAGTCTTTGATCAATAAAATTTGGAGCCTGTTTTTTTTTATTTGCCAGATACATGGAGCAGAGTCACCAGATGCTGGAACAGAGGAACGACACCCTCAAGTCCTCCAGTGAACATAGCCAGGCCAGATTACTGCAGGCTGAGCAAGACAAGGTACGTTTTGGATCAGACCTCGTCAGCCCTGATGATCCTGCAGACATAACTCTGGTTGTTGTAGTATGAGTATTGTTGTAGTATGTATGAGTAAAACCACACAAGCAAAAAAAAAAAAAACAGCCTGATTATGGTAGAAGGGAAACCGGCCTGCAGCAGCTGCTGTGGAAGGGGCCATTTCCTGAGTTACTGCAGGAAGTGTGGCTTCTCCTTCCTCACCAACTGGTCCACCATCCCCAGTCAACCCAGTGCTGTATTGTGGAGGGTGGGGGACAGACTTTTGGGGGGTGTTAACCACAGTCTTATGTCCAGGTTGAGCTCCAGGTGAGTTTGACTGCTCCGGTAGACCAGCTCATCCACAGGATGATTTCTACCCATCCAACATCAATCAAAGGCACCCTAGGGGGCCATGTTGGAGCGCCCCTGTCCCCCCCCAATTAGATCACTATATTCATGTGCGAGAATGGCTTGTCTAGTTTCACTCAGCTTATCAATGTTTCAGTGAACTGTGGCTACATTTTCTGCTGTTGGTTCAAAAAAGCTTCCACTTCACAGCTGTGACTGCTTTAGTTTACAGATGTAACCCAAGAAGTATAAGAGTTTTAATATCTACTGCTTTGTGGATGTAATGTGATGGAAAATGTGAGAAGGTTTAAGGGTAGGACTACTTCTGCAAAGCACTGACCTTGCAGCTGATGCTGCTGTGTCTGAGGGGAATTCAGCATTCACTGCTCTCTCTTCCAGCAGCATGCTCGGCCACTGGACCAGGTGAGCCTGATTTCTCAGTGTTCTGCCACCAGACTGGGGTCAACTAGCTTTTGCAAAATAAGCTATGTGATAGTAAAAATACTTGATAGTTTAAATCTGTGAAAATGTGCGTGAACATTGAGTTGCTTCTTAATGGAAATATTCTGGTGAAGATTCCCAGTCATCAAGGTCATAGTCATTCCAAAACAGCTGAAAAACAAACCACTGGACTTCTTTTCCAAGTTTGAAGACATTTCGCTTCCCATCCAGGATACTTTTTCAGAAATAGCGTTGAATTGCTTTATACAGTATCCCAAGAAAGCCTTGTTTTTGCTTAGACAACATGCAAATTGAAACAGACGTTAAGAAGGAAAACCAACCTTAAATAGAAGCTGTGGACTCAAGATTTCAGCTTTCAAATCCTACTATGCAGCAATTGAGTTAATCCCTTTCCATTGTAACCCCAACCCCTTTACAGGGGAACAGAAGACCCTACCTATTCAGCCAGACCAACAATTCCCTTTATAGACTCCCTCTCAGAGACATAGACAGGTATGAGGCATTGCAGGCTATCAACAAAAAAAGCCAAACGACCCCTATTCCAAATCGTTGGAACTGTTCGTCCGTTTGAATTTACATGTTGTCTGAGCAAAAACAAGGCTTTATTTGGCTACTGTATGAAGCAACTTGACTCCATTTCTGACATTTGAAGTGGAAAATTTTTCCTGGATTGGAAGCGAAACGTATTCAAACTTGGAAACAAAGTCCAGTGTTTTTCTTTTTTTTTTTACTTTTTTGGAATAATGAAAATATTCTGTAAGAAAAATCCTTACACAATACTCCTTGCTTTGTATCATTTAAATTTTATCTTTATTAGTTCTGATCCAGCAGAAAGGAGCAATTCAATTTCAGCAGATAAATGACCAAGACAGACTATTTGAACCCAGTCATTTTGCTGCCACTGGATCATCCTCATTGTCTTTTTAACAAGTCTTTCTTTTTCTCTTCTTCTTTCTTTTTCTTTATCAGTTATCATTGATCATTTCCCTCCAGCAGGAATGCGCTGTTTACACCAAGAGTCACTCATCTGATTTTATCACTAAGTTGTTGTGTCCTTCTCATCCTTGCATTAAGATAAATTAAGACAACTTACCTTCCACCATCTCCTCCTTTCTTATCTTAACCAGGTCCGTCTGACAGAGGAGCTGGCTTCGTCCACTGCACGGGTCTCTCAGCTGCAGCTTGAAGCTACAGCTCACCAACAGAAGGCCATAAAGCTTCAGTGTGAGCTCAGCTCAGTGTTGCAGGACAGTGAGAGCCACTGCAAACGCATTGCTGCCCTGGAAGCACAGCTCGAAGGTTTGGAAAATGAGAAAGACAAAATGTCATTAAGCCTAATTTTTCATTTTCATTGCATTGCAAGGACAAAAAATCTATTATAAACAAAATGTAATACTAATGTACTAACTGAATTGAAACAAAAATTTGATTTAAAAAAAAACATGTCCATCCCAAAGGCAATTCAAAGCTAGAGGTTCCAGGTTAATGCTG